GCATCTCTTCAGCTCTTTAGAGGCAAGCCAAGCATTTGTTAACCTCATGTTGCCACAAAAGAGAAACAGCATGTATCATCCACAGAGTTTCATTTTTCGCAATGATCGCAACATCCTTCATATCGCTCATCAAAAAATGTGTGTTTGACAGTCCAAAAAGACAAGAAGAAACGATTTAAACATTTCTCGCACCACCGTTCTCGTCAGCTCAGTCAGCTTACGCCCTTCTGCTTTCGTCAGTAACTACATTTAACATTTGTGAATCACTGTTTCCAGCATCAACCCTGAAAGATGCTGTACTCCGTACACGTCGAAGGCGTCGCCGCATGATGTTTCGTCAGTTACCCAACGGTTCTTCAGTTCATTCCCTGACAGCAGACTATCTGTGTAATGCATAATAAGAGCTTCAAATCGTTGCGCAGCGACGTCCGACATCCAACTGAGACTCTTAACAACCTATCTTCACTAACAGAAAGTCCAGAGCCGTAGACCGAGCCAAAGACAGCGCGGAACACTGATGCCTTTTTTATTTTCCCCTTTTCAAGCAGTTCCACATGCTGCGCCGTAGGGTGTACATTTTGCTATTTCTAAGGTTGATGCGTAGCTATACAATTTTTCTTGCACCATGATTCACTGTTGAGAAAGAGTGGAGGGTGCGGCCCAAACTTGACAGAATGCTGTGCGGCATCTGTCCAACACGCTTGAAGCCACCAGCGTTCATATCCCAACATTCCTCGACAGGGTCCATCCGCCGTCACTCTTGCATTATAATCAGTTTCAACGTAACATATCAGTTAGGATGAATATGTCTGTCTAAAAACGTCGCCTAATAATAACTGATAAGATACGATGAGGCTGCTTCCAGCTAGCCTCACCAGGGTAGCCAGTGGCTCAAAAAATGTTCATAAGAAAAATGTACCGGTAGTGCGGCTGCATGCCCCTTCATTAGCTTCCGACTGCCCATCACCCAACTTCAGAGTTCGTCCCGACATTTCGGTTTGTCCGAGAACAGAATTCGCTGAAAGTAATTTTGCTGCAGAAAACCAACAGCAAAGATATTAAAGCTACATTTTAACACCCAACACCAATAAAATTTAACAAAATCTGATTCAGAAAAAATATAAGTTAGGGCATTTTAAAATTCACGCTAGGACTCGGAAATAAGGGCAAAGCTAACTAAATGCTGAATGAACAAAGGTTGGGAGTAACACCTCAGGACAAAATGGGTGGTGCTGTTGGGTGCATTTCAACGTGCTACTTCTCGGTGTAAAAAACTGGAAAGGAGGCAGAACCGAGTCAAGACAATGCTAAAAGTCAGAGCAGTTTCTAAACAATCCATCAAAAGAATGAAAAACACACGCTTTAGAGGGATCAGGATTTAGTGCAAAAGCACTTAAAAACACCATATTTGGAAAGACTAGCAAAACAAAAAAGATGTCAAAACAGTAACGCTCATTGTCTCTTCCACCGCAACCACCTGTAAAGGCGATGTTTGGGTTTTCACTTCATAGCCATCATGGGATAAAATTCCACTTCCATACCCCCAAGTTCTATTTAAAAGTTATCCATTGCAAATGTCATTTTCGATGGTAAAATTATGTCCCATCTCTCAGCAATGCAATTCAAAAGATATATTGAAGCACTTTTCGGAGACTACGTATGAAGATATCTCCTGCACGGTTTGTTGCATAAGAACGAAGCCATCCGAAGATTTGAAGTCCGTGCACTCACATACTGTCTTCATATTCCTGTGCCGTATCGTGCTGACTTTTCCTAACCGTTCATGCTTCGTGTTTATATGCTACACCCTCACAGTGACTTTAGTGATCCTCTAATTTTGTCGTCTACTGCCACAAGTTTTAACAATACTACCCGTCCTATTAGGAGGCCAGCACCAAGTCCCTTTGACACACACGGTACCAAAAACCCATCTCTCTGTGACTACGATGCTCGTTTTCGAGACTCTGTAGCAAACTACTTTGCAGAGAATTCAGCCAAGGTACGAGTGGCGACAGCGGAGTCATGGCAATGCTGACATATGGTCAATGCGATTAACACACTGGTATTTCTAAGAATCTCAGACATCGATGTCCTTTCTACATCTCGGCACAGATATATAATGATTACTGCAAAAGTCACAGTTTAAAACACCTTGAGAGGAAGGAAAGCTGATGAAGAAAAGCTACTGCTGACCTTCTTCAGAGTCCAACAGCACCACTGAAGCAGGCGAAGAAGGTGGACTATCACTGCACACTGAATCCAATTCAGCTTCTTCAAGCGGCTCATCCACCACAGAACTTACAGTTCTGTAATTCAAATTATGCAAATATTAAAAGTCCGCACCATCCCATCAAAAAAAAAAGTTTTCTGTGTATTTTTCCATTCTGTGCCGACCACGGTGGCAGTCATCGACACGTCGCATTTACAAGTCAGTTCCTGGGGTTTTAGCTTAGGGCTTGGGCTAGACCAGTGCTTTTCGTCTTTCTAGCTGGCAAAGCTTCTGTCTCTCTGGTTGCCAATTGTTTGTATTTTGTGTC